TATATATATATATAGATATATATATATATATACATATATATATATATATATATATATATATATCAGACATACTCGTAATCGACGAAGACCTCTCCAGTAAATTTAATGCAGTAGACCATCTGCTCGTCAGGGATATCGGTGGGCATGGGCAGCAGATCCCACTTCGTCCGTTTAAGTAGTGGCATGTTGATGTTATATGCTATATAATCCTTACTATTCCAGGTAGCGTTAATAGAAATATGCCTTTGTGTGAGTATGTATGAAACTCTTGAAATTCTTGAAATTCTACCGGTTCATTCAGTGGTTGTTGTAGGGGCATGTATGTTATGATATCGATCGCCAAATCAGCTGGAACGCTATTGAACACAACAGACCCAACTGACACGGTAGTCTGTACTATCGTGTGCTTATACACAGTGTACGTAGCTAATAGTCACCTATCCAATGTGCAATCTGACGACAAGCTTGATACTCAATAACCGGACTACCACTGACGTGTGCGTGAAATTGATCAGGCACGTTTGTTTCGTGTGTGTGAGTGATGTGATGAGTTTTGTGCCTCTCGTTGTCCCTTAAAAATGCCGAGGAATTCACCCCCGCCCCACCTGACAGCACAAACTGTACACATTCGAATATTGGACCAAAAGGTGTCGGGAATGTCAAAAATCCAAAAACCCGCCCGATTCAATCGACGATCTATTTTTAATTGCAAGGAATTTTAGCGGGATAATTTGTCGGTGATGATATACTGCGGCGAGAAAAGCACACGTGAGTATATAACGCATACACCGCAGTAAATATATATGTATGTTTTTATAAATATATGTTCACATAAGCCATAGGTTTTTGACTTGTAGTGTGTTGTGTACAGGATCAAATATCTACGTATGCTCGTGAGTGTGTGCAAGCGCTGGTAATATTTATAATAGCTCGTATGTGTCAGTGCAGCTAGGCTGTTTTGGAAACCAATACCGTACGCAGTAGGACCACTACTCGAGTAATATGAATAAAATCTTTATCAGCGCGGCCATACTGTAGTCGTTTCCTAATAAATAAAGACACGTGTATTAATCACATCATTACCACATATCGTGGAGATAAGCGTATGAATAAAGCACAACAACGAGATCTGCGTCGTCAGCACAAGTACACTATGTCGTGTTGGAATGTGAAGGATAGTATCCTTGAAAAGCCACTGATCGAGACCCAAAAGCGAACTTTTAGGAATCCAGGTGTGCATATGTTTGTACTTCTGCTTGTCAGTTCCCATTTAACGGTGACAGATGCAAAAGGTACTCACGCCTGTGTGTTTTTTCTAGTCTGAATCAGTGGATCGGTGCTACTCTTTGCTTTACTTGCCATAAAGATGTGTATACTCACTATACCTAGATCTAAAATTTAGCATTGCTCCACCATAACAAGTCTATATAGAGTTTATTCATCGTGCCAGTGTCCATTTTCTGCCGATATACGTCTGGATTATCTACGATGTCGTATTGATCACGTCTTGAATTTGATACCACCATTATATTTATCAAGTTTATGTTGCTATATACACTGCTGTATGCTATATTATGGCTTGTGCCAAATCTGTCTGGTTGCAATAAGCAATCACGTGTCTGTCAGTAGACTTTCCCACTAAGTAAACTTTCATATTCTCACGTATACGCAGTTATTTCCTATATAAAATGTGTAAATGCGAAAAGTCCAAGTCTCTCTAGAGAACCGATAGACTAGATATTCTTCGGCCTGTACCGTGTAGGGGATATAGTTGACCGCAATTGCACCCGAACCTGTATATCTGCATTTACACAGAGCGTTTTTAATTGGATTATGATCTCAGTCTAGATCTTTGTCTTGAACTTTCCATATTTGGTTTTCAATTTGTTTGGATAGTATCAATGTACACTGATATGTTCAATAAGTGTCATAGCGCTGAGTGTGTGTATGTTTGTACATGTCGTACTCCATCCTTTTCTACCCCTCTAAATATGCTCGGCATGGTTTTACCTCATGAAGACTTGGTAGTCACTGTTCGTTGCAGAGATATTATCTAGAATCGACCCGACTAATGTGTGCATACTCCTACACCTTTGTACTAGATGCTAAATCGAAGTGACCTCAACCCCTGTCTTCCTTGATACCCTCTTGGCCTGAATCTTCAAGAATACACTCTACTCTTAACCTCATTAATGACATTCCCGCCAATCTGATTGATACCATTTTTCCTGATCGGTCTGATCGATACCTACCACCTTAACCCCTTTGTATCCCCCTCATATCTACACCTTTGCTTCTTGTTCTCGTGAGCAGGAGAAGTGATGGATGCTGTGCGACGTTTGGCCAACACAGTCAAACACCTGCGACGCACCCTACCCATCACTGAGGAGGTGTCTGTGTTTCAACGGCTCATAAGGCGAAATAAGAAACAACAAAAGCACAGCATGTTCTACGCCAAACTGGCCCAGGTGTGTGCGTAGCTGAAGATGTTATAGGGTGTGTTTCTTCGTCATCGCCAGTAGTTGTATCATCCGAGTGCGTGTTTATCTATTGGGTTCACTGGAGTGATTTTTTTATCTATGGAATGATATGCTGTACGATAGGCTGTATTTATTCATTGCCAGGCATGATTTTATCTACATACGTCTATTCGTCTTCAAGTGACTGCGATTGATGGTGGCTCTATCGTTAATACTATATGTATGTGCAGCAACTGGCCCCTCATCATTGTATGCCCCAATACACGACTGCTTCACACAAAACAACCAACGGATACATGCCTCTACAAAATCATAGAGCCAGGATATTCACACCCGGTTCACCCTTGTGATATTCTACAATCAGATCTCCCGGCTGCTTAAGACGATGCAAAGCTACGACTGCGCACCCGCACTCTCGGCCATGATGGCAGAAGTTCCAAGGTACATTCGCAATGTGTGGTGTCACTCGCCATGCCACATATGTCTTAATTATATCAACTTGGTTTTCTGTTGTTTCAACCTGGTTTCCCCAATTTACGGGAGGTCTCGGAGGTTTTTAGACAGTTATTCCGCTTGTATTTTGCACGACATGACTGCTTTAATGCTCTTTAACCGGGCGAGATTGATTTGGCGACGTACTGTACCTGCAGTGAGATACACAGCGACACACTTTATATACTTCCTTGTATTGACCTCTCGTAACATACATCATTATATTAGATTCTAACAATATTTCTATACATATGCTGCATCATCGGTGAACCGATTGTCTGTGCAAATGAGTTATGTACGTATACTCTGCAGGTAATGAGCTTTGATCTCAGCTTGTACAGAGGGCGATCTAGATTGACAAGAGTGTTTCTAGTCACAATTCTTCATCACAAAAAAATACACACCCTGCCACATCAAACACCTACCAATCCTCTTACAAACCCCATCTTCTCGTTTCAGTATCAAGCAGATGCGAGATGCGACGGCCAAGACAGCCATGTCTCTGCCTACACGCACCACTGTAGAGAGGATCGATGCACGGGTGACAGCTGAGGCACATGTGTGCAACGAGGTAGAGTGATGTTTACATACACGTTTGTATTGTAGAGACTTACGTACGTGTTGTCATGGTAGATTATGCTTGCTATTCGTGCCTATGCATGTGCGTGTGTACAGACCGTGGTGTGTTTTGTCATGAGCGCGAGTGCCCACGCGTGACACCTAGAAAAGACTAGTACACGCTGCACTGTGAAGATACGTGGGTGTAGCAAAGCATGTTTACTTGAGTGTAAGCACGCATGGGTATATTCGCATGCTGCCACAAATGTAGCACTCTTCTGGTGAAACAGGTGCAGGTGGATACGTTTTAAGATGTGCATACATACACTCAGTAGCGTATCTGACCCGTCCATCCCAATGCTTTCTTCTTCAACAGTGCCCGTGTCCGATATATTGATGTGTGGACTTATTTTTGCCGGTATTATCTTCTGTCCCGTCCATCACAATGCTTTCTTCTTCAACAGTGCCCGTGTCCGATTTATTGATGTGTGGACTTATTTTTGCCGGTATTATGTGCGCTTTAGATTTTGCACACCTGTATAGACTAGCGTTACACTCAAGCTGTAGCTTGGTATAAGCTGTACAGCCTTGGTCTCATATTCAACTACAATACTGTACGGACAACAATGCTATGTGGCTAGCCAGAATTTTTGAAGTTGTTCGCATCCTCCCTCATGTCAACCTCGTAAATTTTTCTGGACCATATTGATATATTGTTTTTTTTTGTCCTTCGTATCAGGTCATCAGCCGTATCGTCAACGCTGCTGGGTAGGTTATTCCGCGTCTGCTAATATGAGTCATGATTGAAACACAAGTGGGACTCCTGTTTTGTTTGTAATACATTGTCTATCTCCCCGTTGTAAACTCAGTTTTATCTTTCAAGTCGTTAAATATGCTTTTGCTTGCCTGTCTCAATGTCAGGTGTTTCGTATTTTCCGTTCTGTTTAAGGCTGGCTCGTATAGCCCGTATAGTGTTATCTGTTCCTTTGTACATCTCATGTAGACTGGTCTGGTTTAAACTTCAGTTATGTCTCCATGCGAAAGTAGTGGGGTTCCGGACGCCAGTACTGATCTACAAGTGTAGTTTAAGGGGGGCCTTCCGATTCGATACATGATTGCACATGCTTGTAGTGAGCCAAACATTCGTTTCAAACTGAAGATGAAGATCACATGTGAGCTTATTGTATGTAGGTAAATGATGCCATATCTTGTTCTGTGTGGTCGCACAATTCCAGAGACCGGCGTTTGTAGTTTATTTTGCAATGGTACAAATTATAAATTTATACAAACGAAATCTGGAGCTTGTTTGTGCTTTGATGCTGCTGTTTGCCCACACGCCCACTCTTCGTATATATATCTGTTTTGTAACCTGCTCCTCAAAGTGCTCGAGTTAAACATTATTCCGGACCACGTATCACAATTCTCCAAGGTTGTGTACAAAATACGTACATATTTATTTACATATAACGAAATAAGGATTTGGTCATACAGCACACATATGCCTCAAAATACGCCTCAAAATACGTATGCCTCTACATATACATTACCATGTAATTCGTTTATGTATATATGATTGCTTGTAAGTAGTCAAAAAAAAAAGCTTTGATTGCTGTGGTGGGATGTTGCTATTATATTCACTCACTCGCCCCGCTTCTCCCAATCACTGTCGCAGGCTACTGCTCAACCAGCTAGCCTCGGCCGAGTTTCCTGCGCTAAGCATCACCTTCCTGGGTGTCCTTGGTCGCATACGCACCCTCCTCAGCGCTCGTCAGGAAGATCTGATTCAGTGCGTGAGCATTCTACAGCTACTGTGTGACCCTCCCGGTGAGCCAATCCCCCATATGTCGGCTTCAAAGGAACCAGGTAGTAGGGATGAGTGCCTGTCAATGTGTGTTTGTCTGTGTGTGCGGGGTATGCGGCGGCTGGTAATGGACAAGGACGATACAGGCACACAGACCAAACCAGCACCAAACTTGAAGCACGGCTCTGTTGTGCGAACGGACACGAGTGCAGGCAAGCAAAGCAAGAGCAAGTCACTCACCTCTGGTAGCCAAACAAGCGCCCTCAATATATCAGAAAGGTTGAAACCATCGCAATCTGTAGACACTGAATATTCGGATGTGGACGGGATGATTGCCATGGATGCGGTTGAAGGTGATAATGATGATACTATCAGCAATATAGCAAGCGACGATGGAGAGGAGGGTGGGCCGAATCTGATGTTGCCTACAACAGCGGATCGGTTCTGGCTTGGGGGAAAGCTCGAATCACAGACTGATAACCAAGACACTCATGCAGACGCAACGGATCGTGTTGTGGATTGTGTGGAGGGTGAAGATTCGTTCCAGGGTGAAAAAGTACAAGATGCAGATCTGATTGTAGATGGGAATTTGCCGAGAAACAATTTGGACATTGCAGTGAAGCCGGGTAAGAAAGATAAAGCGTTAAATCAGGATAGAAAATCAAGTACGATGAAAATAGGTGAAAGCACTTCGGATGATGTTGCGAATGTCGGTAAGAGGAAAAAGAAAAAGAATCGCAAACGAAAACCGCCGATTGAGGAGGAGGAAAAAAGGAGAGGCGTGGATATAAATACTCTTGTGAGTATTGATAGACGAGACACCGAAAACTTGTATGCAGCTGAGAGTACCGGGATTGTGGCTACTAGAGGAAAGAAAATTAAGAAGATGAAAAGCGTGGCAAAGCCATCTGGCGATGATATGGATGATATTTTTGGGGACCTCTGACGCACCTACCGTAGTGGTGATCTCATATTGTGTTGCCCTAGCAACACAACAGATCATACATATGGAGTACACGTGCCGTTGAGTACGTACACTGCCATACACTACATTAAACTGCCATACATACCAAGTTAGCTGCTCCTTTGAGGCCAAGTGAGTGGCTTATCGGGGACACGTCCGTAACATACGGCAAAAGAACCCGTAGCTACAGAGAGAGCGGCTCCCTTGTTATACATGCACAACATGCATAACATATATCTCAAATACCAAGCGATCTGTTTTTCTGAGGCTCATACGCGCATACCTCCTAGATGTACTGCCTGGGATTTGGAACAGACATCTGGGCGATGCAGGGATTGCATCTATGAGATGAGCAGATTGACGAGGGTGATGGTGTTGATAATGTAGATGGTAACCTGTATATACCATATAGGTGTAGCTCGCGTGATTGAACCTACGAGTTGCCTGAATATCAATTCAAGCGACATCAAATGTGAGCACAATCCTAGCATTAAATGCTACCCATACGCAAGGAACGATAAAGATGAGCTCAACGCCATCAATGTTCTGGGCAAGCAGAACTTCGGTATACTCATCAACAGCACACGCGTAAGCGTGGCACGGACACGCTTGTACACAGACGTGCAATGCACACGGGGGTATACTGTACAATCAATGTTACATATGACATAATCGCAATCTTATGATTTGTGATATCGTAGTACAACTTTCTTTCAGCGTTACAAGCTGCCTGTTAGAAACCTATCTCGCGCTCTCGGTGACCTTGTAACCAAAGCCTGCGCGGAGTATACAACACTTAAACGGTAACACACCCTAAACTTCCCATGCTGTGATACGTGGTCCACCTATCGGAAATTGATTGTACTCGCTCATTTGATTGTATGTGCAGATTTATTTCTTATCTTACATAGTTGTTCAGAGGCTAAACTCACAGACTGTAGCGTCCCGTATTGCGAACATAAATAGAGCAGTTCCTCTGTAAATGTTCACTATTGTTCGCCGTTCGCAGTGCCACTGACGGCTGAACCGTGCTGTGAGCTGGCGTGTGAGCTCATGTGTGAACTGTTTCTTGAACTGTTATGGCTTGTGTGCATGTCTTGCTCTTGCCCTGATAGCGTGCCGATCTCAATATCCTTTGGTACGCTTGTACCGGTGACCTGCACTTCGGGTTGACTTTTGTTATTCCATTCCTGTGAAATCAGTGATTTGGATGTTAAGTATGTTGCTCTCGTGTTGCTGTTAGTTGCATATATAGTGTATGTGCTAAATACAATATTTATATATCAAGAATATAAATGGCGGTGTAGAAATATATTAGGCGCGTTGGATTGCGATAAACAATGAAGTAGTGTGGTTTTCACAATCCAGATGGTAGCAAATAGATTAGCGAAGAAGACTTAATTTTCACTACAATACAGTGACAGCCAGCCATATAGTTATTGGACACAGTCACCTATGAGATTAGGGTCTGAATATCCGGGTTGCACCGAACCTCCGAATTTAATTACAGCGGAATCACGCTTCGTAGAAATGTCAGCTTGCTATAGATTAATTGCAATAGAACCACAACATACCTTCTGAGCAAATTCCTCCTCGACGGCCTTCTCTATGGCTGTGCGTACGAAAGGAGTCATCATAATAAAGTAGTACATAGCTGCCATGAATGCAGTCCATGTTGCAAAATATCCATTGCCGGCGCCAGGGAAGGGTCCGCCAACAGAGGTGTTGAAGCCTGTACAAGCAACATAATAGTATAGTACTTGAGCTGATGCCTATCTTTTATGTGCCGAGTACTGAGTACCTTATAACTTGGAACGGCGCAGGTTTGTTTACTATTGTTTGTAGCGATATTGGCTAATATTCGCATCAAAGACGAGTGCATAGTGTATGTGAATAGGAAGTTATACATTCAGAGTGCATAATTTTATTGCTTGCATCATCCCTGATGAGCTGGTGATGATATACACCAACTACTGTGTTCTATTTGAGGGCAATGTTAGGAGGCAATCGAATATGAGCTTCGTATATTGGCAGCGGTATCAACCCTATATGCTATTTTAAAATATTCACTCAATCCACCAATTCAGATTTCACACAAGAAAATTATACAAATGCATTCAACCCATTTCTTAAACAACTACATAACTCCCGTGTCGTTCCACAAGATGTCACATATGTGTATGCAGATGTTCAGCCTCAAAGATTAAACGCTTACATAATGAAGAAACGTTCAAGTTTGTATATTCAATAATACATGCAACGAGTGACAATCTTTGTCAAACAGTGTGTTGTGTAGGGCTTTGGGCACGGATTCCAGTACTCAACAAGTACGAACCCGTACAATCAGCCATGCATCAAAAGTTTTGAAATGATTTTGCGAGTGCTTTTGGTGCACATGACATACCAGCTCCAAAAGCCCACCAGACAGTCAAAAAGCCGCCCAAAATCATGCCAAATCTCTCCTCCATTTGTGATGACATGGCATGGTGTAGGTACAGGCCAATTGCACAAACAACGAATGAAATCACCCCAACAGCTACGGCCCAACCTAACCTGTTTGCGCAATTATTACTACGGACGCAGACGTCTGATGCGACGGAGAATTCAATCAGGGATGCAGCACAGCATACCGCAAGACCGCTGAAAAACGAGCTGACCTTCTTGATCTTATATGCAGTGATCAGGAAGAAGTAGTAGATAGATGCGCCGAATGCAATCCAGACTCCGAAGTACCCATTACCCAGGCCAGTGTAAGGGCCTCCAGCGCCAGTTGTAAAGGCAACACCGGCAGCCCACCACAACACCAAGAAAATGGCACCATATATCCCAAGACTCATCATGATGTCTTTCTTCATAAAGTGTAGGAAGAGAATCACCCCGGTTACCATCGTGCTGATAACCCCACATGCAATCGCCCAGGCAACATTCGAATTACTGGTGTTGAAAGTATCCGCCGCTACCGCGAAACAGATGATTGAGCCAACAAAGACTAGTGCTAGAGGTCCTACAGGATGCATAATGATTATCTGATGCTTAACCCCTAACGAAATGTATATATATATATACGCCAGTGGGGAAATGATTCTGTTGACGATGGCAAGCAACTACTTGTACATGTGTTCCATCAGTTTGTGTAGAAGTCAAGACTTTTAAACACTATCATATGGTTTAACGGACGTGTACGTAGTCTGGAGTTTAGACCGCAACAAATATTCACCAACTCATAATAATATAAACTTTCTAGTAGTAGCAAGTCGGAGTGTATAATCAGAATACCAACATTTAGATTGGCACGCGATTCTGGTGTGGTGGAAACAAATATATTCAATAAACAAGAGGCGCGAAGTTTTTTCATGGAGGTACACCAGAAAGAAAACAACAATAAACATACTCGTACTTTCGAGATAAAATATAGAGCATATTCGGATTGTAACATAATAAGGCGGTCATAAAAAAATCAGAGGGTAATACTCGCAAATCGTGCTGGTCGCGCATCGACACACATATTTATGTGAATTGAAATGCCGGACATTATTTTTACTGAGAAGTTCAGTGTATAAAATGGACTGTAGAGTGCAGACTGTAAATATTTATTTCAAGTTTTTTAATAAAATCAGACTGTAGTCAAGTAGTCAGACTGTAAATATAAAGATGTAAAAAATATGCTCATTCCACATTTTTCAGTTGTAGTTGTCATCTCTGGCTCTCTCTCTCTCTCTAGAGCCTCTGCCGGGCCCCGGTGACGGTCTGCCCTCTCTATCTCACTCTTTAATACTAAATATTCACTATTTAGTAGGGTCTATACTAGATTAGAGAAAGAGTACATATTAGTAGAGAGAGGGGTGGGGTGGGGGGCAGAGAGACTATTTAGAGAGCTAAAGAGAGGTATGAAAATTGAAATAAATACAGCCCGCGCCCAGCATGGCGGCAGAGGGCGTGAACTTGTGATTCAGTATTTTTAAATTGAGATTTCAGTTGCGTAATGCGTACTTACCTAAGTGCATTATTTTTTAAATATATTACATATAAACATATGAATTTGATATATAATACATGTAATTCTCAAATTTGATTGATTGGATAAGCATCCTATAGCGATTTAATTGGCGGATTTGAAGCTCAGCCTGTTACAATTTACAGGACACACTTTTTTGTTTTGTTTTGCTTTTAGAAATTGCTTTTTTTTTTTGTTCCAATTTCGTCAAGATTGTTGTTCACTGCAGAGACGTGCAGAGGGCAGACTCATACCACAGTCTCTGACATGTCACATTTGTGTATAAATACAATACACAACATAATACCATAATATAAACCCTAAATATTCATGTTACGGACTTTAGTCCGTTGTGGTATATTTCCAATTTTTGTCTAGAGGGTCAGGATCGTATTCAACCTTATGAGACAATTGAACATTTCAGGAGAAGGTTATGGCTTATGTGTCTATGACAATATATATATATATATATATATATATATATATATATATATATATATATATATACATATACTATATATATATATATATATATATCTACAGACTCCTCACTCCTGTATCCACATAATTGCCTCTGACAAAGTAAGGACATCCTCATGTGACTTTCTAACTTATCTGAACCATACGAAAGTATACCGATCAGACATTGCGTGTGTGAATAGGAAGCTTGCACGATATCCCTATCAGCGGCCTCCAAGTGAGGGAGCTCATCCTTATCTGAGGATTCAGAAACATTCTTCTGTAAACGTTCGGTACAATAAAACCATAATTAGTTCTCCGAACCGATATGGTGAGTAGCAACTTTGATCCAGCGCCTTGACCCTTTAATGCTGAACGAAAGCATAAAAGTTACTTTTCGTCACCACAGGTCACCTTTGTGAATGCCTCCAAGGTCCCGACAGTGGAGAGAATAAATTTACTGTTTACAAACCCGTCACGCTGCTTTATGGTCGCGAATATATGTTACAATAAATAAATACCAGTTATGCGACATGTTTGACCATCCGACAACATGCACTTTGAATGCTGAAGCCCTTCTTTTAGAATTTAGACATTAGGCAAACTATTTATTTATAATGAAAGTAGCTTTTTCCTCACCTAAAGGGACTTAATCTCGGACTATAGGTATGCACGTCTGTGTGACTGTGAACTGTGATGTACGCGTAAATAAAACCTATTCACATTTTCTAAAATACCATACACATAAACGCAGGAATGAAACAGACGGATATGCTATACAACTTGTACAAGTGGTGTATACATATGTGTAAATGTCCAATATTTTTATTTTAACAAACGAGAAGACGAAGAGTCAATAGTGTGCCAGTGGGAGTATGGCGTGCAGTATATCTATATGCCAAACAGTACCAACTAATAATTTCGCGGCATTTGTGCTTTATATTTGTGCCGGTTGCCTTTTGTATTTATTGAGCTGTTGCTTTTAACTTTTTGTTGATTTTTTTAAATCTCCCTGTGTCCATCGGTCAGTCCTTGAGGCATAATTCCTTTTCTAATGGATGAGCTATCGCCATATTTAATTGTTTTCAAGAAAACCAAATGTGTATCATTTTTTTAGCCTCATTGTGTTTAATTTTCAGAAGGCTATGCATTGTAGAGTCATTTTAGGATTATTATTTTTTAAATTATCACCAAAAATAATATATATATATAAATATCAAACAGCTGCCTGCTGTCCAGAGTCTCCAGAGTCCAGACTCCCTAGAGACTATAGAGAGTCCAGACTCCAGTGTCCCAGACCAGCAGACTCCGTATCACTCTGTCATTTTAAAAAAAGCGAAAGTGCGGTACCTACAGATTAATTATTGCATGTAAGCAAAATATCATTTCATTGGTGCTCAGGAGTGATATGAAAAATTAACTACAACAGAGTACATAGCCTCACAGAGATGACAAGAGAATCAAGATTGTTTCTGATGTCTGACATCATTTGGCTGCCTTCCCATTGGTGTTACATCTGTCTAAAGGTTTGTAATATCTGTGGCATTGCCAAATTTGAACCCCTTCCCTGACTTCATTTCCTACTACACAACAAGTCGGCATCGTCGATATTTATCTATTTATGCATAGCCTTCTAAATCAAACATGATTTATGAGTGGAACTCGACAGCAACTCGGTTCTCGAAATTTATATTTATATCGCCGCGAGTATGTTGAGGGCATCAGTTAAAACATTAAGAATCATAGAACATAGGTTGCGAAGCAGCGCAATCAATACGCATTGTTCTCATACCCGTTTTCAATCATCAAGTAATATATTTCCTTCAGCAACACGCACACATCAACAGAATATGACATTATACACTAAAATAGTATCCTCAATGGGCAGCAAAACCTCTATGGTGGCTAAGGACAACGCCATCAAGGGTCGCGTTGAGAAAATGCTTATCGAAGGCAAGCACACAATTTTCGGCACACAGACAGACGGCACGTTCGAAGGCATGGAGGAGTTCCAGGCTGGCATGGGCTGCTTCTGGGGCGCTGAACAGAGGGTAAGTGCATATTTTTAGCAATATGTTGAACTGAATGGGTCCATTGTTTCACTATGATAGGATGCTACCATTTTAGTGTGGTTGTATAACTAATACCTACTGACATTTACATGAACTGCCATTTGTGGTTTTGATTATTCCGTGCGGAGATACGTCAGTCTGACGTAGTTCTATATCTTTCCACTTGCACTTTTGGAATTTTTACTGTGAATGTGCACGGACTAGATTGATATAAATTTTCCAACAGGCTAAATATCACTATATATATATATATATATATATATTTATGGTACACATACAATCATATGTGTGTATAGTACCCACATCTAGGTTAATCTTATGATATCTGCAACGAGTGTAATGTGTTGTTATTGCATAGTTGGAATCAGATACGTCTAGTTGCTTTATGACTTGGATATCTAACAATTTGTGGTGTATTTGAAGTATCCGGGCATTGTTATATTTTTTCTCATCTGTTTACGACTTAACATCGCATGGATGTATATTCGTCCTAAGAGGTTTTATGCTACATTCCATCTGGATTCAATGACGATCGCAGCTAAGATCAAATTGTTCGGTTTGTTTCGGAACGCACTTCACTCGACTGATATGAAATGCACATGCTTATTAAGCAATGTGTACATTATGGAATCTGAGTTTCCCTGCGAGTAATTCAGGTTTTCTACAATTTACTCGCATCTTAATACGTATTTGCATATAGTTTATTACACTTGCCTTGGTAAACATGCAATTGCTCGCATACATTTTGCTGCCCCGGATAAACTAAGCTTTTTTACAGTACACCCAAATATTTGTTTGTACCCGCATACTCACAAAACAAACATTGTTCATTACATTTTTTATCATATTTGCCGCCATCAACATGCATAGACTCACATATGACTTGCTTCCTACTCGTACAGTACTGGGAACAGCCGGGTGTAGTACACACGGCAGTGGGTTATTCTGGTGGCTACACTGAGAACCCTACATACGAAGAGACATGCACTGCACAGACAGGACACACCGAGTGTGTGCGAGTGGTATACGACCCCAAGAAAACCAATCTACAGGCATTATTGAAAGTGGTAAGTCCAACTGTTTGCTTGTATTGATTGTGCTAAAGTAGTGTACGCTTTGTGACATGCGACTTCTGTGGGCGGATATGCACATTCTGAAAGATTATGTCGATTTTACATTGGTTATGCGCATTAGGTATATGCCTGATACAGTTTGCTTGTATTAAAGCTGATTTCCTTTGAAGCTCGCATGTGCAGAACAACGTCTCGTGATGGATACGTCAATGCTGCATGTTTAGTTTGCGTTGCGTCAATCCTACCACCGTAGCACCACTGGGGTATTTTGGTATAAAGATAATGTCAGCACTAATCTTCTTGTTTGCGCCTACATATCACCTTCACCTCTCATGAGTCGCTTTCATTGTCAGCGCTTATCTGCATGTATACCCCTATCCCGCCACTATGTTCTTTTTGGTTGGGTTAGTTATGAGCCTTAATTTAACAATCTACACTTTCCTCCACTATCAGTTCTGGGAATCACACGACCCCACACAGCAGAACAGACAGGGAAATGATGTAGGAACGCAGTACAGATCGGCTCTCTATTTGGAAACGGACGAGCAGTATCAAATTGCTAAGAAGTATGTTTACTGTGCATTATTCAAAGAGGAACAATAAACACGTGGCTTTTTTTTTTTTGAACGGTTGTATGTGCAGGCATGAATTAGGCTTCTCTTTCATTTGGGTATATATGTTCATGCCTTTATTTGTTCGCTGTGTAAGCTCTATTTCGCATACGTGTAGTTAATAGTATCAATACAACTACTTTAGGAAGAAGAAAAATCACGCATAGTATCTGCACTTTGTAAACTATCTTATCGCACTATTTTCTGACACACCCGTGCACTTACTCTTCATCGATTTTGTAGGTCAAGAGATGCTTATCAAGCGGCCCTGACAAAGGAAGGAAAAGGTCATATCTCTACTGATTTAAGGGAAGGACCCGCACCAGTATTTTACTATGCAGAGGACTATCATCAACAGTATTTGGACAAGAACAAGGGTGGCTATTGCGGTCTGAAGGGTACAGGCGTACAATGTGCGCGAGGAGAATAATCAAAGATATATAAATAAATGATTGCCAAATAGAATGTACAACTATTTTTATAGGTGACTGCCACCAACTGTGCTTGAACAAAATAAGAATTGTTTTTGTGAATTGTAGCACAGAGAGTTCCGACAATGCTGCATCGGACGTAAACATTATTTTATAGGTGGTTATTGTGATCTATATAGGTTACAGGAATCGAATGTGCTAGAGACCCATTAGCCAGAGATAAAGCACCAACATTCTTTAGACAGAACAAGAGGATATTTATATTGTGATCTGAAGGTTACATGCGTATCAGGGGAGGCATAAATAAAAGGTTACTAAATCAGACGTATGAACTATATGATATCTTTTTTAATAGATTGAAAAATTGACTCTAGTTATTGACGCTCTTATATTTGTAAGTTCATTTAAAACTGTAAGTCGATACGGTTCTTGTATACGTCAGAAGTATGGACACTCGTCTCACAATATAGCTGAGCACATTTCTTTATGTCTCCGCAATCTCTGGACCACTGACAGCATTCCTTGTTCTTGAACATGGGCTTTATATGGGTATGTTCGTGGATGGATATGGTAGAGCAAATAGACGGGTATGTTGTTGTTATATACTTATTTTCGCGACCATTTTCGCGACCAAGAACATATACCTTTTTCGTTGTTTGTCGATTTCCCCGACACAACGTGTAGTACGCGGTATATCCAAGTACCCTGATACCACAAAAGCCAGAACACACCAGTCACTACTCACATCATGGAAGCCATGTTTCGTTCGTAGTTGTAAAAAATAAAGAATGGGCAGTTGGCACCTGAGCCATGTCTATACTGTATTAAAAAAACAATAATACTAGATATGCACATAGCAAATTCATAGTCTTATACAGCCGACGGTTCCTGAGTCCCTGACTGCCTGAGACTGCCTGACTATTTCCAATGATTGTTATTATATATAAAAAAAAACTACAACATCATTCAGGAATCACAAATCAGGAATCAGGACTCACTGCTGGCTGCTGTGCAGTCGTCAATATGAGTCTGTAAGAGTGTGAAGTTGTGAACCTGTGTGTGATGTCACTGACCGTTGTGTAGTGCTATTTGTTTACATATGACTCACCGCCTGTAGGCCGTGGCTGTGAGTCTATGACGGTGAGTTGTCAGTTGTGACTCGGTGTGATGGCTGATGAGAGACCGTAAGTAACAGTGTGACACTGTGTCAGACTGTCACTGACTGACTGTGTGACAACTGAGTCGCTAACTGATGAGTATGAAAATAGTCAAAATAGGAATACCCAGACACCCCAAGTACTTGAATACCTGGACATGTGTACATAGTATTTACTATTTAGGTACAAATTTACGTAGCTGCTATGTGTTTTGTAGTGTGCATTTATTTACATTAGTTTTATAATTTGTATATGCATAAAAAAGAAAAAAGAAACGAGAGGGCGAAGACTCGGAGTCCGGAGAGTGTGTCAGTGGAAGTATCCGAGTATGGCATACATAGTATTGAGTGTACACTCTATACAGTACCAACTATTTTTTTCGCGGCAGATGTACCGTTCAAAATAGCGCTTCCGTGAGGCATATTATTTCATTTCCAATGGTTGGTGAAGCCGCCATATATATTTTCAACAAAAATATGATATTGTGATATTTTTGATTTTAATTAATCAATAAATAAATACAGACAATTTTATATAGACAGTATATAACTATTTATTTGTAAATAATTTGTATGACTTTATGTACTATTTTTTATTTGTTTTACTTAAAAAAAACATATTTACTTTTAGACTTTACTAAATACCACCACTGATGAGTGACTGACACAGGGCAAAGGCCCGTAATTAAAACATTCCACTCCATCAGTCACACATATTATTTATTATTTATTATAAATGTAGTACATCTCATCTTATTATTTCTTTTGATTTTAAAAAACACAAAGTATTTTGTAAAATTTAGGAGGCTATGAATATATATTTTTTAAATTTCTATACATATTTAATGAAAATCGAGATTGCCAGGTGTTTTCCACATGCTAAAATAAAACCCAAATTTGCAATATATATTGGCTTATTTCAAATTGCGATATATTCCACATGGCGTACTCGGGTTGAATTAGTCTAAATATAACCCCAGTTTGAATTTCACTTTTTTGGGAGCCATATTTCATATTTTATACCAAGTTTAATACTAGAGTTTAGGACACAAAATGAACATATTTAAAAAATATATTGCCTAAAATGCTACAATTCGGTATTCTTTTCCCATAATAATTAATATAAGAGTATTGAGTACCAAAGTGGCCAGGCTATTTACTCCGACTTCCGTATCCCGGTTTCCGGTAGCCTGTAGGCCGGTACCTTTTGATCAAAATATCGTTTCATTGGCACTCAGAAATGATATGAAAAATAATATTTATGATGACAACTGACAAGATTGCTTTTTGGCTGCATTCTCATTGGTATTGCATCTGTCTAAAAGTTAAATACTTATGGCAGTTACCAAATTTGAAATTTGAACCGAGAGTCCGAGAAATCGACCTGTAAATCGATATTTTATCTATTATGTGTGTGGAACTGTGGATTGTAGACCTCAACAGCCACTCGGTTCTCGAAATTTGTATTTATATCACTGTGAGTACGTTGAGGGTTTCAGATAAAACATTGTAAAGAACCATATAACATATCTTGCGAAGCAGCGCGATCGTCAGCCACAAGTACACATCAACATGACTTCTAAAATAGTATCCGCAATGAACAGCAAAGCCATCAATAATCCCGTTCAGAAATCCCCGATTCAAGAAAAGCACTCAATTTTCGGCACACAGATTGATGGCACGTTCGAAGGCATGGAGGAGTTCCAGGTTGGCATGGGCTGCTTCTGGGGCGCTGAACAGAGGGTAAGTGTATAAATATTCGCGCTTTGTTGACCTGAATGGGTTCATTGTTCCACTGTGATAGAATACTAAATCTTGCTGTCCTCGTACAATGTCTCAGAATTACTGGCTATTGTGTTTTAGTTTAGCAGATCCCTGTGTGTGATGCCAGGAAAAAATATTGTGCATACCGAACAGAACTGAAACTTGGCGCGTATATTCACACACCTACAATCACTGTAGACGCAAGTAAACTAAGCCTTTCTACAGTATAACCACATCTTTGTTAATAACTGCATACTGACAAACATGCTTCATTGCACTTTGATCACGCTTCCCACCATCAACATACCTGGACTCACCAAATTTGACTCGATTCTTACTCGTACAGTACTGGGGACAGTCGGGCGTAGTACACACAGCAGTGGGTTATTCAGGTGGCCATACAGAGAACTCTACGAACGGAGAGGCTAGCGATGTAGAGACAGGACGCGCAGAGTGTGTACGAGTAGTATATGACCCCAAGAAAACCGATTTTCAGTCATTGTTGAAAGTGGTAAGCTCAAATTTTTGCTTGTATTTGTCGTACTACCAAGTGGTGTACGCTTTGTGGCATGCGGGTTCTGTGGATGGATATGCGTGTCCCGATTGGCACATTGTGTATGCGCATTAATTACATGTCTGATACAGTCTGCTTGCAGTAGAGTTACTTTCCTCCGATGCTCGCATGTAAAGAACAACGTCTCGTGAAGAATGCGTAGTTGCTGTATGTTTAGTGTGCGTGGCGTCAGTCCTACCACCGTAGCACCACCGGGATATTTTGGTATAAAAAGTAATGTCAGCACAAATCTTCTTGTTTGTGCCTACATATCACCAGCCCTCGTGCGTTGCTCTCATTGTGAGCACTAATTCGTACGACTATTCGCTCCATCCCGAGTTGCTGTATTTTTAGTGTGCGTGGCG